CTTTCGTGTTGTTACGTATGGGGAAACACAACCGAGAGGATTGGCTCCCAAAATTTGGTCCTATCCTTTTGTTATGTTACCTATGGGGAAGCGCAGCCGAGAGGATTGGACCAAATTTTGCCCGCTAAAACTTGGTCCTATCCTTTTGTTATGTTACCTATGGGGAAGCACAACCGATTGGACCAAATTTTGCTGCTGAAATTTGGTCCTGTCCTTTCGTGTTGCTACGTATGGGGAAACACAACCGAGAGGATTGGCTCCCAAAATTTGGTCCTATCCTTTTGTTATGTTACCTATGGGGAAACACAGCCGAGAGGATTGGACCAAATTTTGCCTGCTAAAATTTGGTCCTATCCTTTTGTTATGTTACCTATGGGGAAGCACAGCCGAGAGGATTGGACCAAATTTTGCTGCTAAAATTTGGTCCTATCCTTTCGTGTTGTGAAATTTGGTCTTATCCTTTCGTGTTGTAAAATTTGGTCCTACCCTTTCGTGTTGTTACGTATGGGGAAACACAACCGAGAGGATTGGCTCCCAAAATTTGGTCCTATCCTTTTGTTATGTTACCTATGGGGAAGCGCAGCCGAGAGGATTGGACCAAATTTTGCCCGCGAAAATTTGGTCCTATCCTTTTGTTATGTTACCTATGGGGAAGCACAACCGAGAGGATTGGACCAAATTTTGCCTGCTGAAATTTGGTCCTATCCTTTCGTGTTGTTACGTATGGGGAAACACAACCGAGAGGATTGGCTCCCAAAATTTGGTCCTATCCTTTTGTTATGTTACCTATGGGGAAGCACAACCGAGAGGATTGGACCAAATTTTGCCTGCTGAAACTTGGTCCTATCCTTTCGTGTTGTTACGTATGGGGAAGCACAACCGAGAGGATTGGACCAAATTTTGCTGCTAAAATTTGGTCCTATCCTTTCGTGTTGTAAAATTTGCTCCTATCCTTTCGTGTTGTTACGTATGGGGAAACACAACCGAGAGGATTGGCTCCCAACAGTTGGTCCTATCCTTCTGTTATGTTACCTATGGGGAAGCACAGCCGAGAGGATTGGACCAAATTTTGCCCGCTAAAACTTGGTCCTATCCTTTTGTTATGTTACCTATGGGGAAGCACAACCGAGAGGATTGGACCAAATTTTGCCTGCTGAAACTTGGTCCTATCCTTTCGTGTTGTTACGTATGGGGAAGCACAACCGAGAGGATTGGCTCCCAACATTTGGTCCTATCCTTTTGTTATGTTACCTATGGGGCAGCACAACCGAGAGGATTTAATTGGCGGACCAATTAAAATATAAGGATTTTTAAAATATTACTTGCCCAAAAATCTTTAAAATCCTGAAAATTTAAATGGGCCAAGGTTTGGGCTTTGGAAAAGTTAGCAAACCATTAAATTTTTAAAAATCTTTAAAATCTTTAAAATTTAATTGGCGGACCAATTAATTTTTAAGGATTTTTAAAATTTTAATGGCCTTAAAATCTTTAAAATTCTGAAAATTTAAATGGGCCAAGGTTTGGGCTTTGGAAAAGTTAGCAAACCATTAAATTTTTAAAAATCTTTAAAATCTTTAAAATTTATTTGGCCGGCCAATTAATTTTTAATGATTTTTAAAATTTTAATGGCCTTAAAATCTTGAAAATTCTGAAAAAATTTTAATGGGCCAAGGTTTGGGCTTTGGAAAAGTTAGCAAACCATTAAATTTTTAAAAATCTTTAAAATCTATAAAATTTAGTTGGCCGGCCAATTAATTTTTAAGGATTTTTCAAATTTTAATGGCCTTAAAATCTTTAAAATCCTTAAAAATTAAATGGGCCAAGGTTTGGGCTTTGGAAAAGTTAGCAAACCGTTAAATTTTTAAATATCTTCAAAATCTTTAAAATTTAATTGGCCGGCCAATTAATTTTTAAGGACTTTTAACATTTTAATGGCCTTAAAATCTTTAAAATCCTTAAAATTTAAATGGGCCAAGGTTTGGGCTATGGAAAAGTTAGCAAACCATTAAATTTTTAAAAATCTTTAAAATTTAATTGGCCTGCCAATTAATTTTTAAGGATTTTTAAAATTTTTAAGGCCTTAAAATCTTTAAAATTCTGAAAAAATTTTAATGGGCCAAGGTTTGGGCTTTGGAAAAGTTAGCAAACCATTAAATTTTTAAAAATCTTTAAAACCTTTAAAATTTAATTGGCCGGCCAATTAATTTTTAATGATTTTTAAAATTTTAATGGCTTTAAAATCTTTAAAATCCTTAAAATCTAAATGGGCCATGGTTTGCTAACTTTTCCAAAGCCCAAACCTTGGCCCATTTAAATTTTGAGGATTTTAAAGAATTTAAGGCCATGAAAATTTTAAAAATCATTAAAAATTAATTGGCCGGCCAATTAAATTTTAAAGATTTTAAAGATATTTAAAAATTTAATGGTTTGCTAACTTTTCCAAAGCCCAAACCTTGGGCCATTTAATTTTTAAGGGTTTTAAAGATTTTAAGTCCATTAAAATTTAAACGTCTTTAAAAATTAATTGGCCGGCCAATTAAATTTTAAAGATTTTAAGGCCATTAAACTTTTAAAAACCATTAAACATTAATTGGCCGGCCAATTAAATTTTAAAGATTTTAAAGATTTTCAAAAATTTAATGGTTTGCTAACTTTTCCAAAGCCCAAACCTTGGCCCATTTAATTTTTAAGGATTTTGAAGATTTTCAAGCCATTAAATTTTTTAAAAAACCTTAAAAAATAATTGGCCGGCCAATTAAATTTTAAAGATTTTAAGGCCATTAAAATTTTAAAAATCCTTAAAAATTAATTGGCGGGCCAATTAAATTTTAAAGATTTTAAAGATTTTTAAAAATTTAATGGTTTGCTAACTTTTCCAAAGCCCAAACCTTGGCCCATTTAAATTTCAAGAATTTTAAAGAATTTAAGGCCATTAAAATTTTAAAAATCCTTAAAAATTAATTGGCCGGCCAATTAAATTTTAAAGATTTTACAGATATTTAAAAATTTAATGGTTTGCTAACTTTTCCAAAGCCCAAACCTTGGCCCATTTAAATTTTAGGGATTTTAAAGGTTTTAAGGCCATTAAAATTTCAAAAATCCTTAAAAATTAATTGGCATGCCAATTAAATTTTAAAGATTTTAGAAGCCATTCAAATATTGAAAACCTTTAAAACTTGAAAGGCTAGATATTCGAATACGGATCTCTGTGTCAAAGACTTATAACAACGAAGCCGAATGCCAAATAGAGCATAAAGGTCCTACGTACATAATACTATATATACGATATATACCATATATACTATAGATATTATATATACTGTCTATATATATATATATATATATTTATTTATTCATTTATGTGTGTGTATTGGTGTACATGCGAAAAAATGTGAGTAAGACATGTGTAATCTATTTCCTAGATGTATGTACGTACATAGGCATGTGCATGTGTACATATATATAGACAAAGCCCAGTAACGAAAAAACGTATGTTGTTGCACGACCTCAATATGGAATGTTGGGCTGATGCGAGCGACTGGAATCGGGCATCAGAGACCCCGTACAGCAGGTGACACAAAAAGTACAAGCGATATAGTAACTATAGTAATTATTCATAAGCTCATAAACCTGAAAATCTGAAAGCTGATAATACATGGTACACCTATTTCAATCGATCATGGTGGGTACATGCGTGCGGATGGCGCCGAAAATCTGAGACCCCAAAAAGATATGAGATATGGGACTCGCAGAGGCAAGGAGACCCAAGACCTCCGAAAGATAGACTGGTTCCTAAACACCCCAACATGAGATGTGGGGGAAAGCCCTACGCAAGCAGGATTGGATGGCTAACCCCACTCTTGGAAGATGTGGCTCAGTTCCCCAAACCTACAACGTTCAACAGGGTATGGTTTTGATGCGCAATCACGTGGCAGACCGTTAACGCTGCGGATGGGCGCCGTCTTTTATCGAACCCAAAAATCAACCTTGGCAACTCCACTGGCTTGAAAGGAATAGTCGGTAAGGAACCGGTTCCCAAAAAATCGGTTCCCAAAAACTCAAATCCCTGACAGGAGTGAGTGGTGGAGATTGGAAGTTGAACGCTGTAACAGGACATATTGATCGTTGCAAGAAAATAGAATTACCATCAAGGGCTTGGTGCGCGGCAAGGCAGCAGTGAGAACCAAACCCTAAGAAACTTGACGGAGCCTCCCAAACCCGACACAGTCGGCAATATTGTGTCGCAGACCAACCGCCACAGGAGACGATGAGCGGCAAACCACGTGTTCCCAGAAAACGCAAACAACAAACTAGTAACAGACGATGGGTGGCAGGTGCAAACCCCGAATCTTTAAAAGAATATCCCCACATGAGGGAGGGATGAATTGCTCGATTCGCCACCACGATAAGTTGCGCCACTGCATCATCTTGGCTGCGATGCGATCACTGCGAGCTATGTGTCCAGCGAGCCCCCATATCATTCGGAGGATGTATGTGCTCCAACGTTCGATCTCGCAGCGGTGCAGGGTAACTCGGGCTCGTCTCATCGACCGTATGTGCCAATCAGCCCAAGGATCCGCATCATGCTCCGTGCATGCAGCAGTTGCATTGAGTTGGCCGGCTTTAGCACAAATTCCACACAGAGCCATGTTTCGCATGCCCAGAGTGCTGACTGCCTGACTAGGATGGTATGCATCTGGAGCCTGCTCTTGATGGCCGCGTCAGACATCAAGGTCCCCCTGTGCTTCGCGAATACCTGCCGTCCACGACTCTGCATTTCGGCCACGAGGATGTGGGGAAGCTTAGTGGGTTCCTGATGTAGGTGTCGTCCATGTAGCTGCCCATTGTGGGGGGGTGGTTCCCCTTGTTGGGGCCGACTTGCTGGCTGCTTCATTCAGGGCCTTGTCCAGGGTGCGTGCAACGGTCCTGCCAAAGGCTATTGGGCTATCTGGAGAACCTTGCCGCACGCCGTTGGATTGGTGAACGGCAAAGTGCTCCCCTCGGAAGACAATGTGGATCTTCTGCGCGTGAAGCAGGGACACCCAGAAGGTTGTCCCCCTGTGTCCCCCACATCGCGGGAAATCTCCTCTGCCAGTGCCTCCTGGTACACTGAGTCAAAGGCTTTCCGTATGTCAAGTTTGGCGAGGAACATCGGTGGGCCGTACGACAGACTTTGCGAAGGATCAGTATGAGTTCTACGCCTTGACGGTGTCGTCGACTCCATTGCAATCGTGACGGAATCTGCACATGATGGGCGACACGTCGGATAATCAACTGTGAGAAGGTCCAAGGTTATCGGTCGTGTGTCCTTCCAGTCGGCTGGTGTCGCTTTCTTCGCCAAGAGCACCGTAATGCCTCGTTCAACTGCTTCGGGTAACTTGGCAACGTAGAGAAGGTCATTGAGAATGTAGAGGAGCTTGTTGGCCCAGATTTCTGTCCCCCCACGGCCCTTCAGTGCTTCGTGCGATATGCTGTCCGGTCCACACGATTTCCCATTTTTCCACTTCTTTCTCACAGCTTTGAGCTCTTCATGGTCAAAACGGATCCATGGCGTCTTCTTGCATTGCACGGTCAACCGATGCCATACCTCGTCTATCTTTGCTTGCACGGTGTCCATGGGCTTTTTGTGGAAGATCTTGTCGAAGTGGTCGCGGAGTTCCTGTCGCCATTCGTCGCGAGCATACAGGCTGAGTTCCCGATTCCCAGGAGTTGTTGCCTCCGTCCCCATCTACATCCTTCTTGGACTTCCAGTAGCCCTTGCCGGCCAGGTTGAACTTGCATGTCTTCCATTCTTTGTGTTCTCGGCGTCGTAGTTTCTGCATTGTTTTCCAGGTTTGTTTGCGTTCGTCCCCTGGGGGAGTTGCAGGGCATGTCGGCGTTGAGAGCGTGCTTCTTCACTTTCTCGGAAAGCTTCTGCACGTCGTCCCGGTCTGGTGATGGCGATGGCGACGTCGGCGATGTGAGAGAGAGGGTCCATCGATGTATTCACGTAGGTCTCCAGTATCCGATCTACTTCTTTATGGTCACGGAGTTGTCTTGTCCCCCAAGGCTTTGCTCGTGGAGCTGTGCGTTGCTGTCGCTGCCCTTTCGTCTCGATCTCGAGGACAAACCGGTTCGTGGTCACTTCTGGCGAAGTCCCGGAGTTGCAACACGTCCCCGTTTCTGTTCTGGAGGTTCCGCGTGCAGACGTAGTCGAGGCGGCGGCATGGCATCGCTGTATTGTAAGGGAAGAAGGAGTGTTTTGCCAACTGCTGCTCTGGGACTTGCCATCCAAGCTTTGCCAGCCATAGCAGTAGTTGTTCCCCGCGCCCAGTTGTAGAGTTAGTGCAAGGTCGGTGGAGGCCCGGCGTGAAGGTCTCGTTCACGTCCCAACCAAGGATTGCCTTGTCATACTTGAGCACATGAGAGCTCCAGGCTTCGGTGATTGCCGCTGTCAGCAGTATGGTTGCATGGTGGGGTGCCCGGACAGTGCAAAGAACTTATTGTTCTCGTCACCACACGGCAACAGCTTATTGTGGCTGCGGCTCAACTGCGAGCCATGCACGACGGCTGTTCCTCGCCAATCTGTTTCTTGTTTGCCTGCGAAGATCGGCATGTCATCCTTTTTCGGACACATGCTTGCCAGCCGTCACTATCACCTCCTGGAGGAGCAGGACAAAGTCAAGGTGGAAAGGTTGAATTCGTTCTCGGCGTAGGTCACATAGAAGTTGGAGGACTTGGTCTGGATTGAGTCCCCCTACATTCCACGTCAAAACATGCATGGTCCCAGCTTCTCTGCAATCGCTGGGGTGAGACTGCGACTGCGTTGTGCTCGGTCAGCTCAAAGCTTTCCTGAGCTCGTCCCACTTTGTCGTGAGCGAGCTGTCGGAGACTCCCATCTGGCTAGCTATGGTGGCAAGGTGCACCCAGCCCACGCGGGTAGAAGCCGCCCCAATTGGAGCCGTACTGACAGCGGAAGCAACTCGCACTTGCCCATGCCAGATGTTGCCTGTGCCGAACTCGACGTCTAGCTGTCGCTTGTCTCCATCCAGTTCAAGAACAAGACGTTTCACTTTCCCGGCAAATTGTGCCCGCTTGCGGCGCTCGGGGCTTTCGCTCATTGCCGCCCCTGAGGGCGTTCCCCCGTGATGACCTTTGCTTCCCTGATTTTTCGCAAGGCCTCACGAACTCGGCGTCTGAAGTCCATGTCACTTTCCCCGCTTCTGTTGTTCACCGGCACAATGGCGAAGCCACGTCGAAGCCCTGGTACAAAGGCCTCTTCGGTGTCCAGGTCGATCTCGAGGCTTGCAATGTGCTCTTTAGCCATGCGAAGCGTGTCACTTGCACTTTGGTCAGCATCCCATCCACCGACCACGACGGCGGGGCGGTTATTGGAATCCGGTCCCCCACCTGCCGTCGTCCGCGTGCTGGAGGAGGTCGAAAACGTGGCTGTGGCGAACTTGCCTTCAAGGAGCTCGAGATGCTTGCGAATGTCCGTGACCCTTTTGACTGCGTGTTCCATGCTGCAGTGGCGGTCTGTCATGATTCTCACGGCCCTCCTCCAGTGAGTGAGCCTCACGGGCTCGTTTCGGCCCACCTTGTGGCGAACCTGTGGCTTCTTCAAGGTTTAACGACATTCTGCTGCAAAAGGGCGGGCCACCACGATCAAGCCGAAGTCGCCGTCGTGCAGGTAGTGCTTCAAACTTGCGTAGGGGAGCAGGATCCCCCAACGATGGTCTTGCGGTGGATCGATTCGGCAGACTTGTCCCCCTGTCGGGTCGCCGATTGCCGCAATGGTGAGGTTTGTGAAAGTCCCGAAAGAGCAAGCCAACTTGTACCCCGGCTCCGTTCTCACCTATGTCGCGGAACCGAACCTGGAAGGAGTACACGCAAAGTACAGCGAGGCCCCCGTACTCGGTGTGGCTGCAGAATCGCGCAGCTCTCTCCTGCTTGCCTCAGTCCCCCTCTGACTCTCTTGGTTGGAGGTCCTCTATGGTCTCGGACCTTGAGCACTCGCGGCTTGAGCCAAAATGGCTACCTCTCTCTCTCTCTGTCTCTTGCTGTGCCCGACGAGCCAGGCTCTCCTGCCGACACGTCCACCAAAGGGACACAGTCTGGCCAATCTCCCCGAAAGCCACGTAGCAACGGGAGAAATAAAGGTCCAGCATTGTGCCAGCCCACCAACCTCGGATCGTACACCCTGTCAGACATGTCCGCGCAAGTCTCACCATTTGATTTGGATGCGACGTTGTTCGACCTGAACGGTTGATCAAGCTGGCATGCCACTACCTGGAAACATTGTCTACTGCTGTGTCCATATCGCAATCGACAGGTTTGTTCCGGATGAGGGACACCTATGTCTGGAGCTTGTTGTCACATCTCTGCCAACCCGTTGACGCACCTGCTCTTCACCGACACGGCGACCAGGTTACCGCCAAAACCCTGGAAACTCATCACTGATACGGCCACCAGGCTAAGCCCGGAACCTTGATCATACTGCAACTTAACCACCTATATGGCTCAACATCTTTACCTCTGCATATAGGTCATATAAGACAACATCAGAATCAAGTCGGAGGGAGTATTGCACAAGTGGCGCGTGCCTGAAGCTGAACCATGCAAGCCTGGATCACGAAGCGAACCAAACACGGTAAGTCCCCTACTAGATGACTTCCTTTCAGTCTGGCAGAACAAGAATCTGCCAGCAATCTACTAGCTCCTGACCCTTCACCACTTCAGAGCCAGGGCAAGTGCCGTTGGTGTGGATCAGCTCCTCAAACTCACGAGAATCCTGTCAGCAAGTACCACGAAAAAATCCACGCTCGGCACATAGCATCTGACCTGCTCCAGCGCTGCTGCAACGTTTGCTTCCGTGAACTCTGTGGAGCCTGCGACGCAAGTCGCAACTCCGAAAGATTGCAGAGAGTGAGAGCGCGACAACTCGATGCTGAAAGAGGCTCCATCTTTCAGGCAATCCAACTCCTCAGAGCAACGGCTCACCCCACTCCCAACTCGAAAGACCAAAGCATGCCGGTCATAGCGTGTGTGCCGTAGCTTCCCAACTGCAAGCATACGCAGCACACGCAAAGGCAACGGCTCACCCTACCGGGCCTTTCCCGGAGCACCTGTCGCCCTTCTTACAGTCTTAAAACCTCTTCTTGAGGCTTCTGGACTATCTAATCCTCGCGAAAGAAAGCCCGAAGGCAGCTCGGCTTCGTCAAAGGCCACTCGCGGCTGCAATCTGCCCCCGCGAATTTCCAGCACGGCATCCTACACCCCGCCCAGCCCCGCCCCTCAACCTTCGCCCCGACCGGCACCACCATGCCAGCTAACCAAGTAAGAAAAGCAGCATTTTTTGGGTCATCCGGGTCCCGTGCCGCTTGTGTCGCTGCGACGAGCTCGTCCGACTCTGCCGGGTCACACTCGAAGCTGATGCCTCCGCAAAAAAAAAGTGCCAAAACATGCGCCTCTTTTTTGATCCTTGACTTCACACCTTCCCGTTTTAACGCACTCCGAGAGGCTCAATGTTCCGTGGCGCGGTTTGCCCATTTGCGGTGGCGCCAATGAAAGGTCGGTGCCCACGGACACGCTGTAGACCTGCAATCCACCAGATTGACCCAAATCCATGATTGTGAAAAGGATTATTTGGGGCCTGGGATAAATATGTAACTCGTGTCGTCATGTCTGTGTGCGTGTCGTTCCCTCGCAGATGGGGGGCAGGTTGAGGACCTGCAAATAATCCGAGCTTTTGCTTACTCATGACCCCTATATTTAAAGGATATATTCCGGAAATCCTGGCTTTGCACTCTGCAGACAAACCCCCTAGATTTGAAGGAAAAGAGAGGCCCAAAAACTTACTTCCTTACTGCAATTAGAGGCCTAGTAGAAGCTTAAAACTTACTACTTTACTTGCAATTAGAAGCCTAGCTGAGGCTTAAAACGTACTACTTTACGAAATTAGAGGCTCAGTAGAGGCTTAAAACTTACTACTTTAAAACTTTACTGCAATTAGAGGCTTGGTCTTGCTACTCTACAGCAAGTAGAGGCTTAGTAGAGGATTGAAACTTACTTCTTTACTGCAACTAGAGGCTGAATAGAGGCCTTAAACTTACTACTTTACTGCAATTAGAGGCTTGGTACAGGCTCAAGCCTTACTACTCTAATTAGAGGCTTAGTAGAGGCCTAAACCTTACACTGTACTACAATTAGAGGCTTAGTAGAGGCTTAAAACTTACCGCCCACTTACTTATTGCTTATACTACTTACTGCTTACTACTTAGTCTTACTACTTACTTACAACTCCACACAGGAAACGAGCTCAGAAATCGTCGGCCGGCAGAATGCAGGCACCATGCTCCTCTTTGTGGACAGCATTTGGTTCTGCTAAGCCGTGAAGCGCGAAATCGATCATCAATCCATCATGCTTCCCTCGGAACTTCAATGCACGCATCAACGATGGACTCACGAAAAACCAGCACCTGCTCCTATTGAGAAATCTGTGGGTGTTCGGTCTTGCTCTAAAGCACCCTGCTGATGAGTTTCGTGACCTCCACGTCGTACGCCTGGCCCCCAAGCCCGGGAGGCCCGGGAGGCCCGGGAGGCCCGGGACACTTGACGTTGACCCTCCAGAGGGCACACGAGCCTGCGCGTACCGTGAGCTGGCAGTGTCGCCACGAAGAGGTTGCACCGCCGTGGCCTCGTGGGTTGGCAATGGGCCTGCCAAACGACTGCTGCCTGTGCGCTTGCATGGTGGCGACGGTTGCCCGGCCCTGGGCTTTGGCAGGGTCACTGCACAGGAAGACGTGGGGCCGTGTCCGCGTTTGTGTGGCCAAGCTCTGCGGGGGCGTCGGCTATTGCTGGCCCCGAGTTTGCCAAACCAAGGGCTGATTAACCCGCATCGCGCAGCTTGTTGCTGTCCAGATGAGTAGTTTAAATCCCTTCCCCCTTTCATTTACCACCCCCCCTTAAAGAAAAGCAGACGCATTGGCCCCTGCCCTTTTAAAACCTGTTCTGAATGCTTTCGGAGGGAGGGTTTGGAGGCTCCAAATACCCTCAGAGCACAGTAAGAGCGAGAGCAACAGCAAGAACAAGAGCAAGACCGGGAGGTAGAGCAAGAGCAGGAGCAAGAGCGGGAGCATCAGCAAGAGCAAATCAAGAGCAAGAGCACGAGCAAGAGCACAAGCGGGAGCATCAGCAAGACCAGCAGCAAGAGCAAAGCCGAAGCAAGAGCGGGAGTAAGAGCAAGGGAGCAGGAGCAAAAGTGGGAGCAACAGGAAGAGCAGGAGCAGGCGCAAGAGACGCAGCAGAAGCAGGAGCAAAAGCCAGCGTGGGAGCAAGAGCCGGAGCAGTGCTGGAGCAAGAGCACGACCCCTCAACAAAAGTAGCAGTAGAGATAACAATTCCCCCCCAACAATAAACACGCTTTCCGAGTTTCTATTGGGGGGGTTTAATATCTGCGTGGTGGATAGCCACCGGCAGTTGAAACTTTGTCTGGTTCGAACAGCTCCGGCACTGCTACGCCTAATTTGCGTTTGGTTTCGTTTCATTGCATCAACTAATTAGCTGCTAGCTGCTGCTAGCTGATCCTCATCCCCAGACGTGCAGGATGCATCAAGTTCCATGCCTGGCCACGCTGGAAACGAAGGACTTCCACCAAGCGGGTCTCCAGGAGCCGCACCATGAGCCTTGAAAAGACACAGCGGCGGGCATCCGCCACTGAGGTGGAGTGACGAAAGGCAAGCCGAGCGACTGGAGCCGCATGAGCTCGCGGAGCTCTTCGGAGCAAGCCTCCACCGACTTAGCCTCCGATACCTCGTGAAAACAAACCCGCGCAGCAAAGTTAGGACCGCTAGGACCTCGCACCGCCACAGCGTGAAAGAGACTTCCAGTCCAAATAGCCGACACCATCTGCAGTGGGAAGCACAGAACCGTACTGCCCTGCAGATCAAATTTGGATGCATGCACATGAGCCCGACTTCGAACATCTTCGTGCATCTTTGCCTTTGGCTCAACCATGTGCAAGTGCACATCTTCTCGCACTGATTTGGCTGGAAAATCGATTTCCTTGCAGGACACCATGTTTCAGAATGATTCAGAATGGTTATGATGCTCCAACGTGCAGCCGGGTCGCTAGAGGAGTCACCGCCTGCCGCATCTGCAGATCTTCGGGGCGCTGGCTGCTCGCGCCGCTCCTATCGTCGAATCGTGAAAGCAAACATGAGCTCTCGCTGCATAGTAGCATTTCTTGCCAAGACACTCCCCATTCGGGATGCTGCCCAAATAAGTCTCCTTACATTGAAGTTTTGGCAACTTGGCAACGGTGGCGTCTCAGAAAACAGCCCCGCTGGTCAGGAATGGAACCAGCAGCTCATCGCTTCCCCCTAACAATCAACCCCCTCCCTAATTGAAAACCTCCCGGTCCCTGGAATGTCACGGTTTCGGGCCCACAGTTGAAAGCTAATTGAAAACATTAGGGGGCCTAGCATTGTATTAGTTTTAATAAGGCCAAGACTACAATAGTACTAATGAAACCGAAAGGACCAGAGCGCTAGGGTAGAGGGTTTAGAGCTTCTGGATTAAGTTTTTTTGCCTTAGGGCTTAAGGCTTTAGGCTTTAGGGCTTGGGGGTTTAAGGATTTGGGGCTTTTGACACTCACACTCGGACAACCCTGGCGAGGTCTGCAGTAGTAGGTAGGGTTTAGGGCTTTACGCTCTCGCAACTCGGACAAGCCAGACGAAGTCTCAGGTGCGAAGTGCTTTGACTGGTTGGTGTCGTAGCTGACGATCAGTTATGCACAACCGTGACGCAGGGCCTTAGGGTTAAGGGCTCAAGGTTTAGGGCTAAGGGCGGGACTGTCTGCTCTGCAGCTGGAACGGCTGCGTGATGGGCGCTCTTTGTGTCTGGCTCATCATTACTCTCAACCCGACTCATACCCGGATGCCCCGAAACCGCCCCTAATATCCGAAATCAAGGTTTTATGTTAGAGGGAGGGGGAGCATGTCACATGTTACCCCACAGCTCTCGCGCCTACCCCCCCAATAGTATGGATCTCAAATACAAGGGTCTGGAGCCTTAAGCTCAAGACTGGGCCCGCATGAACCCCCATGAGAGAAGGTCCGTACTGGGGTTTTGAGGGCGAGTACAAGGATTCTTCGGCTTTCATAGGGTCTAAAAGGGGGTTTTAGAGAGTTCAAAAATAGCTCCATGAGGGCTTCCATAGAGCTCCACATGGCTCAGTTTATCCCCTCCGGTGGAACGGGACAGCCCGTTTCCTCGGTTCTGTGATCCTCTGTCTGTGGTCCAGATGAGGAAGGAGAACCCCCGCCGCCCCTGTAGAACAGGATTGAGTTTCCTTTTCTTCGGCCTCTGGTGCTGTCCTGTTAAGGAAGTGGTATGATCGCGTGGGAACTTCGTTTCCAATATAGGGACGCACACACGCACACATGTGCCTCTGTACATATGGTCCCTCGACCGCACAATAGAACAAAATCCTGGAAGAGGGTGGGGGCCCGCCGGGGTGCAACCATATATATATATATATGATAGGATATACAGATATACATAAATATATACATGCATACACATGCTTTACTATCGTATGATTCAAAAGAGATAGCACAACGTCTGTACAAATAACTATATCTAAATATTTCTGTTTCGGACTCGCAATTTTTTGAAATGTATTACAAGTACGCTCAGCAATTTTGAGTCAATGAAAAGATGCTCCCACGCAAAACAGATTTCGAATCAATTTTGGGCCCAAAGACAAGAACGATCCACGCGAGAGCGAATTCAGCTCTGTTCAGTCAGAAGTGCATCAACGCGGTTCTCCCCGCGACTTCTTGGCGCTCCGACGCTTCCCCGCGCAGGCACGTCGGCGAAACACTGCACGTTCCCGCCAATCGCCAATGGCCCGAGAAGCCGGTTTAGAAGCATCATGACAATGGCTTGCACTATGCTGGCACAGTGGCACCAAGCGACAATTGTCTAGCAGCCCAACCACCATTGAAGCTGCTTCATACACGAAGTCGAACACAAACAACAGTAACGGGAAAATGCGAACTCAGGCCGAGAGGCCAAGAGCGGCAGCAGCTCGCTTCGAGGTGGCAGTCGGCCCACGAGCACCAAGGTCCACTCACGGGGCATCGACGCGCGCTCGTTGAAGATCTCACAGGCGCAACGCTGCAACTGCAGCTGCAACTGCTGTCGTCGCCTGGGAGGCGATCCGGAAGTTCAAGCGCAGGATCCGCCAGAGACCTGCGGCGTATGCAAGGGGCAGCGGACTGCAAATCCTGCCGCCAAGTCTCACGGTTTGTCACACATGGGCGCAGCATTCTGGCAAACCCTCGTACGCTGCTATAACTCCCAATGCTACCGAATCCTGCAATATGTGATTGATGGGTCCTTGCAAGCGTCTCGAAAGTTGCTCAGCTGGGCTGCTGGGCTTAATGGGGCGTCTGAAAGCACCCACCGTATCCCACCATCAGCTGTTCAGGGTCATTCTCACCGGTCTCTTCAGTGCACACCCAGCGGCTCGGCAGCCAAGTATACCTGAAAGATGCAAAGGGAAAGCTAAACGGCTGGGGTGCACAAGGCAGACAAGTGCAGCGAGTCAGGCCAGCACGGATGGTTGCCGGTGATGGCACTTTGCATACGACGGCGGAACTTGCCTTTGTCACGTTGTGTCATCTGACACGGGGCCCCTTGGGGCCTGTGGCGCCGCTCGCTACTCCGAGCTCATGGCTCTGCGGATCTCGGTCTTCCGCCAAGCGCCAAGCCAGGAGGCCCAGCTTCACCAAGGAGAGCCTCCAAATGGAGCGGACGGCCCCTGCGCCCCGGGTTGGGTCTGGCCTGACCCTGGCCTCCCGGAGGTGCCCTGACCTGGCGACACCGGCTTCAAGAAGAGCAGCGCCAGCAAGGTCAGGAGCACCTCAACAAAAAAAAAAGGCACGACATGCACGACGCATCGTGCTTGTCTGTGACCTGCCTCAAAGTCAGCCGGAGAAGAGGATGCATCCAAGGAGGTGGTGTAAGCCTTCGAGCCACAGCCATGGGATGCCGTGGCCACCATGGCCAAAGTAACCCCTCACTTTGCCTCCATACTCGGTGGGCTCGGATCAACTCGCCGACCCTCAAGGCACTCCTGCTCAGGCGCAGCGAAAGCGTGGGGGGTAAAAGGCAGGTCCTTAGGACCAACACATTATTCATTGCTGACCTCAGCTATTATTTCAAATCCTAACACGCCCTCTTCGTTTTCATTATCATCTTCACCTTATCCACTTTTCGCAGGCCGGTTCTAGGGGTTATTCACCAATATTGCACTTTTACCGCCGGTTGTCAGAACTTTTTCATCAATTCATTCCACCTCATTCATTTTTTACATTCACCCCCTAACATTCTAACCATAGCTCATACCACCGCGCCTAGTTCATTGCTCATATTTTCCTACCTATTTTCCAAGCTCCCTAATAATATTCTTACCAAAGCTTCTATTACTTGAAGTCTCTGAAACCTCCTTTCAGAGACCAGAGAAGCGGACAACATCTTCAGCGATGATTTCTTCAAATGGTGCGCCTTACTCGCTTGAAGGTTTCTTCTGTTCTTGAAAGTCAGAAGTTGCGTTGATTGGACGACATTGTCTTATTGATTGCCGTAGCCGTAGCGGTTTTTATCATTCAAGATGGCAGACCCCGTAGACTATCGCGATGTTTATGTTGGGCTCTACAACGACTTCATCAAAGACCAGCAGTCAGTGGCAGTTTTGAGAAAGCAGAGCATTGTTCTTGACAAGGTCTGTGCGTCGGGTTTCCTTTGCAGTGAAGACGACCTGGAAAACACAATATCCAAAGACATTGAAACAGCCTTCCTCGGCAACCTTCCCGAAGACAGAGATGACGGCATGATTCTTGAAGACTATGACTTGGAAAAAGAAGCAGAAGATTGGAAAAACTATTCGAGCGAACTTGTCCGAAGTGCTGACATTCCAACTACGAAAGAGGGGTTTGACGAAGCGGTCTATCAATACCTGTATGCTAACTTGTGGAACTAGCAAAGGGTCTTTCCAGCGAGGCTTGAAAATGTCCTGCAAAAGCGGTTGCCTTGATTGTCAGTTGCCTGTCTCTTGCTTCTAAGCTTGCGAAAGACACTTTGAAAGCACCTTGTTTTGCTTCTATAGCGGTGTCCAGTGTTCACGCAATTCGCGAACCCCTCTTTCAAAGCAATGGCTTCCTCTTCCAAGGATGCAGGTTACAGTGGCTTTCGTGAGATTCCGATTGAGGAGTTGAGTGAGCAGTCCGACCACGACACCACCTCTTCCTCGGAAAGCGAAGACGAAGATGTTGTGGCATCTCCCCACGACCGAGACAGTGACCCTCGCGATGATTTTGACAAAGAGCCCGATGCCGAATGCTGATGGTTCCGCATCTCAGACCACCACGAAGACAGACTTCTTGATGAAGCCTGATGAGATTGATGACATTGAAGCCTTGGAGTTGCTCTACAACGAGCAGATGAAGAAAGCGAAGTCCGTCGTTGAGGACTACAACTTGGTCCACGCAAAGCTCAAATACATTAAACAAGAAAAGGCGAAAGAGGAGCGCGAGGCCAAGAAGGCACAGAAGTTCCTTGAAAAACGGATGGCAAAGAAGAAGGAGATTGAGACCACCTTGACACTTAACATCAAAAATACCTCCGGCGAGACCTTCACCATCAGCATCACACCCAACAAGACCATGAAGGAGTTGAAGTTGCTGATTGTTGAGACCATCAAAGTCCCGAAGAGCCACATCAGGACGATGAACCTTCGCTTCAAAGAGAACCCTATGACGAAGGATGAGATCGGTGCCTTAGGCTTGAAGGATGGTGATTTGCTCGCGAGACCGAGGGATCGATAGACTCGGCACTCTGGCCGATGTCCATGACCGTTGCCGACCCGACAACTGATCAACACACATGCTCAACCTTGGTGCGTTCGGAGTAGGTGGTGGCACATCCAAGGTCATCAAAAAGGCGGTTTTGAAGAAGAAGCCCGGCACCTTGGTTCAGACACCGACCAGAACACCTTTCAGGTTGCCTTTGACATTGCTAAGAAGCTGTCAGAGAAGTCCGACCTCTCGTTTGATGAAATGATGAAGACGATGAGCCCCTCCGAGCTGACATCTTTGAAGAAGTATCTTGACGACGACAAGGCACGCCTTGAAGACAAGTGCTTCAAAATTGACGAGTTCTCTTCCGACTACAAGGCGATTTCGGTTCTCATCAACAAGTTGGAAGTGGTGGCAGACCACTAATTACAAGGAGCAGATGTTCAACTCAATGCTTGAAAAGTATGAGATGGCTGGGTCAGTAAAGAAAACCCTGATTACAAGGGACATCGAGATTGCTACGAAGATGCGTGAGAGAGATGAGATGGAGTTGTGAGCACCGGAGTGCTTACACATACGCCTTGAAGCACCGAAGCGATGGCATTTTACCTTGATGTTCATATGGTCATCGTATCATTTTGCTCTTAATCTTACAATACAACGATAGGTGATTAATAGGTCATTCTCGAATGATTTCCTGGTCATTCCTATATGGTTTTGCCGTCATATAGCCTCACTGTGCCAAGTCATTTGAGCCCTTGTTCTGAGCAGTGCCTGATATAGGCATTCCATCCTCTTTCTTCAAGGGTGGCGGTGCTATTCTGGTCACGAAACCATGTGTGCGGTGGTCGTTGAAAAACTCCTCCTGCGTCCGAGTGAATGCTAACTTGTGCAAGTGCTTATCAATAAACCGACAAACATGTTTCACGCCAGGATTGAAAGACATCGCCTTCATCACCTACCAGAAGCCCGGCGCCCACTCGGTTTTCGACGCTCACACTCGCACAAGGCAGGCAAGGCCCCACTCGGTTTTAGGATAGGGTTGTTTAGGATAGGGTTGTTTAGGAAACTTCGGGAAAAGGATTGGCTTTTAAGGCCATCTCGGAACTGGAAGCAGATGCTTCGGGAAATCCCACTGTTTAACAGTCAAAAGCATTGTGACAAGCCTCAGAGTGTCGGCGCTTTCAGGGTTTTTCAGTTTCGTTCAGGACTTTTAGGTTTTGTTCAGGATTTTTAGGTTTTGTTCAGGGTTTTTAGGTTTTGTTCAGGGTTTTTAGGCTTTGTTCAGGGTTGTTTTGGTTTGGTTGTGGTTGTGTGCTCTGTTACCCTGAGGGCTCAACCGCGCGAGAGTCAAAACCTTAAATGCCCCCTAGTTTCGGTTCCCTATTCCCCCGCAGCCATTTTTGTTCAAGTTTTTTCGTTTGGCTCAATTTTTGAGAAACTAGAAATTTTCCTTCGCAAACAATAATTAAAAGAATACACAAAAAACAAAACCATAATGATCAATACAAAATTCTGTTCAAGATGTTAACACGTCATTCCAAGTAAAACGTTACAACCAAAATCCGAGAAATCCTGACCGCCAACACCAAACCTAGCCCAAAATCACTTAAAGAAAAGACACCTTACATTGTAATGGAGTCAGGGGGGCTACGATTCAGTGTTAAAGTTCTCAGTTTCAGATAAACAAGCAAACATAAAACGCAAAGGTACTAGAGAATATAAGAAGATATTTAAAATGATGTTGAATATCCATATAACAAAGAAAAGCCACTAGTGAACAATTAATATCAAAACTAGAACAGGGTTCCAAAACTCCACAATACAGACGCTTCAAAATTCTTGACAAAGCCTCAAAAGGAATTCTAGTTAGAAATGCTGTCAAGAAATACGCTATTAAACAAAAAGCCACAATTACCCAAGAACAATCGGCTTTAAACTCTTACGCCAACACTTATTCAATCTCAAACATACAACTTCCTCATGTGAAAGGCTTATCTTATTTCATACACCAAAACGACAAACTAAACGAATATCTTAAAAACACAAATCAATGAAAGTTATAGCTTTCGTTGAAATTGCTTTTGACGACATAGAAGCAGAAGATGAAATAATACACTCAACAAAATCTAGACAATACAACATGCTCAATGAAGATAATAAGGCTTTACATAATATGGGCAAGGATCTAGAAATAACAGTAGCAGAAAAACAAATAGAAAGGTCAGGATTAAGAGTTAAAAAGTTCATACAATCACAATACGTTATGACAAATATGACCCTACACGAGCAGGAAAATATGTTGAATTACCCGAATGGATTTATGAGAAAGAAGGCTTGTATCAACATGAAAACGACGATGACATGTGTTTTAGATGCGGCGTCTCATGTAAGTTTTATGAAATATATAAGAAGGACCACCCACAACGAATGTATCATTATAACAAACATATAGACAACGACAGTTTCATAAAATGGAATTTTTGCCTCCCGCCTGGCTAGGACGAACCTACGATGCAGGGTTAATCATTGGCATCACGTCAGCTGTACACTTCAAGAAAACAACTCACTTATTGCAAGTTCAGCACCAAGATCATGTGTTACACACGTCTCAGTCAGCATGCAGGTATTCTGCTTCCACAGCACGACACTACAAATCTTCACAGTACGACATCCTCGCTCACCCCAAACATTTCGCACCAATCCACTCCAGGAGAGATATCAACTCACCAACTTCCACTTCTCCCATGCTGTGCCCATTGCAGACAGGACGCCCTCTCATCTATTTGCCACTCCATGCAGATCCGTATTCCATGCATCATGCTTGCATGCATCGTGTTTTGTGCCATGCTGTCCATGCAGGATCACATACGTCACGTGTCGTCGCCAACACAATGGTGCACACAGTCATACGGTGTCAAAGGCAGCTGTCAAGTTCAGCCACCGCGCACGGCACCATGACGTAGTGTACTGAAGTGTTTCCTCCATGCTTTCCATCATGGCCCTGCATAGAGCATGCAGCAACTCGGAAGGTCAGTTGGGGCAGTGTGCCCGGGGTCCTGCTTGCCTCGCATTATAGAACACCGAAAAGTGTCACTCACAGCAAGCAGAAAGTCGAGCATGTTCCACTCCGTGCAGTCGGAGGCCACCTGTACCCAGAATCCATGTGTTCCAGAAGTATCACGTGTCTCTGTTGAATTCCAGCGTGCAGTCGGAGGCAGCATGTACCCAGGATAACTCAAATGTTCCACGAGTATCACGTGTGCCAAGTGTTGAATTC